GACTAAACTACTTTGTTGTAATTTTGCTATTACTTGGAATGCGCTTGGAACGCCTTTTTTTAGATCTCGGTAAGTGTTATATGCATACTAAAAATTTCATCAAAATTAACGCAAAGTCAAGTTACAAGCGTTGAAAGATTGTAAAAACTGCAAATTTCTCACACTTATTGGTCGAAGGTGAATCAGATATCGGGACAAAATTGCGATTTTTGTGATCTTTAATTGTTTACAGCTCATAACAAGATCAACCGATTTCGATGAAAGTTTTAACATGCATATAACTTACCGAGATCTACAAAACACGTTTTGTAAATTTTCGTTATAGGCTCAGATAAAAAAGTTAAAAAAACGAGAGTTTATTTTTCTTTTTATTTTAAGCAATAGCAAAATTTAAAAGAAGCATTCTAGTTATGATCTAGTAGACTGGTCGCTCTATCATCTCTAAAAATACAAGACACAGTACCGGTCGGAAGAGAGAGTTTCAATTGAATGGCGAATTCAACCAGTTTCAATTCCTACCACGGAACAATAACCAAATACATATACATAATAAAACAAATTACAAAAAGAACCCTGGTGCTACCACAAAAATTACATTATCAACAGTTATTTCTTTAAAAAATGAAAGGAACGCTAGGGTAATGAATCATTTACTGTGGTTTAATAATTAACTTATCGAATAAGATATATTAATTTCTTTTATTTAAATTCAATTATTTCAATTCTTTGATAATGAATTCGTGAAATTGTCTAAAAAGCTTATAAAAAAAATTCAAGATCAAAGATTACGATTGAAAATCAATATTCAGTAAGATAAATCGTTCTGGGTAAGTTATATCACAATATTAATTATATTGGTCCAACATGTTAAGATTATGGAAAAACGAAACAGTGGTTATTTATTTGTATTTGTTTTTATTTTCAATTTCAGTAGTTTATTCGTTGTGCACAGTAACTAAACCAATTTTTCGCATGATACGTTAATTACTGCGCTGTTTACCACACGTGAGCCTACATAACCTCCAAGACATCTCTGTCATATTTTTGAAGAAAATATAGCTGAAATTTTATTAAAACAGAGAAAATTTACATCGACAAAAGAAACTTTTAAATTTACCTCTAAGATCTTAAGAAATATCAATAAATGGCTAAAGTTATTTTTAATAGAGAATGCTCCCAAAGTCTGCGAACAGGGCATAGTAATTGGCACCTCTAATTATAACAAAAGTGTTTAGCCAATGAACCTGTAGCAATGACTAATTTCGGAATCTCGAAAGGAAAACTGGTGTATACCATCGTATTTTTGGTCTGTTATAGTTGGATTCTGAAGTCTAGAACTCTGAGATCAAGTATCAACAATTCCGATATTTCCGCTTCCTTTATTTTAGAGACGGTTCTGGGAACGTTGAATTATATTTACTATCGAATAATGATTTTGTTATAGTTAATTATTGGTAATCTACTAGATCCAAAAATTTCTTATCGTAGCCTCACCTATTGCTAGGCTAGCATATACTTTGAATAGAAAAGGATTGAATGGTATCAAACAGAAGAGGTTTTTACATCAGCGCTCTCTAGCGATTAGATCCCTGACGTGTCCGCTTTTCGTTCATCCCGATCCACCTGGTTTACCGTCCTGAGGCTAGTCCGACGGTTTCTTCCTTAGCGACGCATGATTCCCCATCAAATCGAACGAGGTTGGATTCGAACTATTATTAAATATTCACGACTTCTTGTTTAAACTATGCTAATTGTGTACGTAAAATATGTCGTACATAAATGACAGAGAATCTAATTATCCGAATTAACAATAAAAAATATGCATGTATTATTCTGCGTAGATTAGATCCATTGTATGTTTCATACACAATACACATTACCAAGATCTGCGAAACGCATTTTTTTAAATTTTCATTATTAGCTCATATAAAAAGTTAAAAAACTAATGCTTCTTGTGTTTTCTTGTTATTTCAAGGAATAGCAAAGTGGAAAAAATGTTAGTCAGTATCGCGTCTCTGATATGTCGATCGTTGGCTATTTACAATTGTGTACGTCAAACGTACACAGAAGGAGATTCAGCTGTTTAACGGTAAACTACTACAGGCAGTTACATATGTAGGAAATTTCCTAGATACGAATAATTATTTTTCAATATCGATAAATAACTGCATAACCCAGGTTCGTAGGGTTTGTTTTCTGAAATGAAAGTGTTGTGTTTCGAAAAATAAATCGAATGCATCAGGAGGTAGTGGTAACAATAATATGTTAGTCACCAGTAGACTGCAGATTTTATGCATTTATAATAAAAATTACTAGACGAAATAACAAATAATGAAGATATGAGAAAAATTAANAGGCAGCTACATATGTAGGAAATTTCCTAGATACGAATAATTATTTTTCAATATCGATAAATAACTGCATAACCCAGGTTCGTAGGGTTTGTTTTCTGAAATGAAAGTGTTGTGTTTTGAAAAATAAATCGAATGCATCAGGAGATAGTGGTAACAATAATATGTTAGTCACCAGTAGACTGCAGATTTTATGCATTTATAATAAAAATTACTAGACGAAATAGCAAATAATGAAGATATGAGAAAAATTAAATAATATTCTAGTACACTCCTCACTTCATTGAAATCACCAACAAAGTAAATATAATCTCATTTACCTTCTGTTCGTTGTAATTAATCTAGACAATTTGTATTCTGCACAATGATCCGCAGTCTAGTAATCAGTTTCTGGTTTCATTTATTTTAGTCAAATTGCTCCTTTTATTTATTAAAAATCAAACATCTCCATTTTTGATGATTCGACATGCACACTACATATGTATGCGCTCCCTTCGTTTTGTTCGGTTTACTCTAGTCGTCTCTCCCTACCGATTTCAACGTCGCCAAAATCTACGTCGCCGATTTCTACGGCCCCAAGTTTTACGTCGCCGATTTCTACCCTGCCAACTGCTACGTCGCTGACCTTTACGTCGTCGATTTTCACTTTGACGGTTTGTAAGTCGCCGACACGCACGTCGCTGACCGACACTTTGCCAACATCTACATCACCAAATTTCAATTCGGCAGTTTCTATGTCTTTCGTTTTCAGGTCGTTGATTTTCACATTGCCGATTTTTACACGGCCAAATTTTACGTCGCCGATTTCTACTCGGCCGATTGATAGGTCGCCGAGTTCTATGCTGACGGTATTCATTCTTCGTATAATTCCCGTGTATGGCTCAGCGTATTCCATATTGCTGATTTCACGTCAACTGTGCAGCTGCCGATATTCTGTAGAAAACAGAACCACTCAGTCCGTGAGGTCGACACGCANTTGTTCGGATTACTCTATTCGTCTCCCGTGACCAATTTCTATGTCACCAACACGCACGTCGCCGACTTCTAAGTCGTTGACTTTTATGTCACCGACACGTACATTGCCGAATTTTACGTTGCCGACGTTTACATCGCCGATATCCATTGTGTCGGTTTTGATGCGGCCGATATACACATCGCTGATCGACACTTTGCCGACAGTTACTGCCTCCATTTTCATGTTACCAGTATCTAGTTCGCGGATTTTCATGTTCTTAACTTTCACACTGCCCATTTTTATGCGGCCAAGCTTTATATCGGTGATTTCTACCTGGCCGACTATTAGGTTGCCGAATTCTATGATGGGGCTCTCCAATTCTCTTGTAGGTTCTTCATATGAGACAGTGCCTTCTGTGTCGCTCATCTTACTTAAACTGTACAGCTGCCGATATTCTAGAGAAAGCAGAAGCACTCAATTCGTGAAGTTGACACGCACCGAGATATTACATCGGACATACCTGTTCTTCCTCAAGACGTGCTCTTGATTTGCCCGCTCTATTACTTCTGTTTGCTTTCCTCGCGGATCGTACAGCCCTTGCTCTGTCGAATCGTGGATTTTCAGGGGTTTTTATACACGCGCGTCTATTTGCCGCCTTCGTTAATGTTCACGGTCGCGGTTGACGGCAAGTTCGTGTTCCAACATCTCCGAAATAATCGCAATGTGTACATACAGTAGCCAACGACATTATTCGAACATTAGTGTAACGCGTTGACTTCTATGCCATATATTTAAATAAATATAATTTAAAGAGGAAACATTTCTTATGGTATATTGAAATAGAGTATATAAATGGCAAATTACGTCCTTAGCGTCGCACGATTCCCCATCAAATCGAACGAGATTGGATTCGAATTATTATTAAATATTCACGACTTCTTGTTTAAACAATGCTTATTGCGTACGTAAAATATGCCGTACATAAATGACAAAGAATTTAATTACCCAAATTAATAATGAAATAATATGCATATATTATCCTCTGTAGAGTATATCCATTGTATGTTTCATACACAATACACATTACCAAGATCTACAGAACACATTTTTTGAAATTTTCGTTCTTGGCTCATATAAAAAGTTAAAAAACTAATGCTTCTTGTGTTTTGTTGTTATTTCAAGGAATAGCAAAGTGGAAAAAAAGTTAGTCAGTATCGCGTCTCTGATACGTCGAACGTTGGCTGTTTACAATTGTGTATGTCAAACGTACACAGAAGGAGATTCAGCTGTTTAACGGTAAACTACTACGGGCAGCTAAATATGTAGGAAATTTCCTAGATACGAATAATTATTTTTCAATATCGATAAATAACTGCATAACCCAGGTTCGTAGGGTTTGTTTTCTGAAATGAAAGTGTTGTGTTTCGAAAAATAAATCGAATGCATCAGGAGGTAGTGGTAACAATAATATATTAGTCACCAGTAGACTGCAGATTTTATGCATTTATAATAAAAATTACTAGACGAAATAACAAATAATGAAGATATGAGAAAAATTAAATAACATTCTACCACACTCCTCACTTCATTGAAATCACCAAAAAAGTAAATATAATCTCATTTACCTTTTCTGTTCGTTGTAATTAATCTAGACAATATGTATTCTGCACAATGATCCGCAGTCTAGTAATCAGTTTCTGGTTTCATTTATTTCAGTCAAATCGCTCCTTTTATTTATTAGAAATCAAATATATTCACGCGTGTATTTTTGCAGATTTGACATGCACACTACATATGTACGCGGTTCCTCCCTCTTGTTCGTATTACACTACTCGTCTCTCCTGACCAAATTCTACATCACCAATATCCACATCGCCGACTTCTATGCCGCTGACTTTTATGTCACCGACTTCTACAATGCCGAATTTTGAGTCGCCGACGTTTACCTCGCCGATATTCAATATGCCGGTCTTGATGCAGCCGATATGCACTTGGCAGATCGACACTTTGCCGACAGTTACTGCCTCCATTTTCATGTTGCCAGTTTCTAGTTCGCCGATTTTCATGTTCTTAACTTTAATAGTGCCGACTTTTATGCGGCCAAGCTTTATATTGCTAATTTGTACCTTGCCGACTGATAGGTTGCCGAATGCTATGATGGGGATATTCAAATTTATTCCACCTTCTTCGTATGGAGCAATGTCTTCAATGTCGCTCATCTTACTTCAACTATACAGCTGCCGATATTCTAGAGAAAGCAGAAGCACTCAATCCGTGAAATCGACACGCACCGAGATATTACATCGGACATACCTGTTCTTCCTCAAGACGTGCTCTTGATTTGCCCGCTCTATTACTTCTGTTTGCTTTCCTCGCGGATCGTACAGCCCTTGCTCTGTCGAATCGTGGATTTTCAGGGGTTTTTATACACGCGCGTGTATTTGCCGCCTTCGTTAATGTTCACGGTCGCGGTTGACGGCAAGTTCGTGTTCCAACATCTCCGAAATAATCGCGATGTGTACATACAGTAGCCAACGACATTATTCGAACATTAGTGTAACGCGTTGGCTTCAATGCCATATATTTAAATAAATATAATTTAAAGAGGAAACATTTCTTATGGTATATTGAAATAGAGTATATAAATGGCAAATTACGTCCTTAGCGATGCACGATTCCCCATCAAATCGAACGAGGTTGGATTCGAATTATTATTAAATATTCACGACTTCTTGTTTAAACAATGCTTATTGCGTACGTAAAATATGCCGTACATAAATGACAAAGAATTTAATTACACAAATTAACAATGAAATAGTATGCATATATTATCCTATGTAGAGTATATCCATTGTATGTTTCATACACAATACACATTACCAAGATCTGCGAAACGCATTTTTTTAAATTTTCATTATTAGCTCATATAAAAAGTTAGAAACTAATACTCTTTATATTTTCTTGTTATTTCAAGGAATAGCAAAGTGGAAAAAATGTTAGTCAGTATCGCGTCTCTGATATGTCGATCGTTGGCTATTTACAATTGTGTACGTCAAACGTACACAGAAGGAGATACAGCTGTTTAACGGTAAACTACTACAGGCAGCTACATATGTAGGAAATTTCCTAGATACGAATAATTATTTTTCAATATCGATAAATAACTGCATAACCCAGGTTCGTAGGGTTTGTTTTCTGAAATGAAAGTGTTGTGTTTTGAAAAATAAATCGAATGCATCAGGAGATAGTGGTAACAATAATATGTTAGTCACCAGTAGACTGCAGATTTTATGCATTTATAATAAAAATTACTAGACGAAATAGCAAATAATGAAGATATGAGAAAAATTAAATAATATTCTACTACACTCCTCACTTCATTGAAATCACCAACAAAGTAAATATAATCTCATTTACCTTCTGTTCGTTGTAATTAATCTAGACAATTTGTATTCTGCACAATGATCCGCAGTCTAGTAATCAGTTTCTGGTTTCATTTATTTTAGTCAAATTGCTCCTTTTATTTATTAAAAATCAAACATCTCCATTTTTGATGATTCGACATGCACACTACATATGTATGCGCTCCCTTCGTTTTGTTCGGTTTACTCTAGTCGTCTCTCCCTACCGATTTCAACGTCGCCAAAATCTACGTCGCCGATTTCTACGGCCCCAAGTTTTACGTCGCCGATTTCTACCCTGCCAACTGCTACGTCGCTGACCTTTACGTCGTCGATTTTCACTTTGACGGTTTGTAAGTCGCCGACACGCACGTCGCTGACCGACACTTTGCCAACATCTACATCACCAAATTTCAATTCGGCAGTTTCTATGTCTTTCGTTTTCAGGTCGTTGATTTTCACATTGCCGATTTTTACACGGCCAAATTTTACGTCGCCGATTTCTACTCGGCCGATTGATAGGTCGCCGAGTTCTATGCTGACGGTATTCATTCTTCGTATAATTCCCGTGTATGGCTCAGCGTATTCCATATTGCTGATTTCACGTCAACTGTGCAGCTGCCGATATTCTGTAGAAAACAGAACCACTCAGTCCGTGAGGTCGACACGCAGCAAGATATTACATCGGACATACCCGTTCTTCCTCAAGTCGTGGTCTTGATTCGCCCGCTCTATTACTTCTGTTTGCCTTCCTCGCGGATCGCACAGCCCTCGCTCTGTCGAATCGTGGATTTTCGGGGTTTTTATATACTTGCGTGTTTTGCCTCATTCGTTATGTTCACGGTCGCGGTCGATGGCAATTTCGTGTTCTAACACCTCCGAAATAGTCGCGATGTGTACACACAGTAACTAACGGCAGTATTCAAACACTATTGTAACGTTGTCTATAAAATTTTTATTTATTTATTAAATTATTATTTATTCATGATCGATGTCATTTTATAGCTTTATTTTACGTGATTTTATGATTTGTTTATAGTACGTATTTTTTTGTTGCAACTCGTATGACTGAATCCACTTTATGGGGATGGACTATAGTGATAGATGGACTAGATGGACTTAGTCATGTCTAGGGACACGGGTAAATATAATTTGCTATCTTAATTTGTTAATACATCTGAAGAAATTCGTAAAATCGGTATGCATTTTTGGCTCATTTAACCGCTAATATTGATCTAACATAGGAAAAATCAACGAGATATGCATTACAATTTTATAACTTTCTTCAGATGCATTAACAAATTAAGATAACAAATTATATTACATATTTTATAAGGCGTTTGAATACTTATGTGGTTTGAAAATTTGATGTTATATTTTTTTAATTATGAAGATAACATTTCATTTTGTCATTTATACCGTGAAGGTATATATTTCTTTAATTTCTTATATTTCTTTCCTTCCAATGTATATTTCTTTAATTATATAGCATATAAAAGTCAGTTATACTAGCAGTTATACTCACTGTATGTATATGCAATTTGATGTTGCAACAATTTTTATATTTACATATATCGTAGTAT